ATGGCTTCTCCCCCCTCTCCTCTTCTCACTTTACTTGTACACTGCACTGTCCTTAGATGTAAATAAAAATGCATTGCGCTGCCATTTCCTGTGAAAGCCAAAAGCATTTGATGTAACTCATTTCAGCTTATGCGGCGGCCACGTGACGACAACATTTTCTCTTACCGCTTTTTTTCAGCCCCTTCTTCTTCTCATTTGTAGCGCTATTTGTATTTGCATTCGTGTTTCGTGTTGTGGGGGTATGTTTGTGTGTGTGTGGGGGGTCTTTTCTTTTATAACAGGTATTCCTAGGGATACAAGGGTATATTTGTCCTTATTTGACTAAGTGGCGGGGGATAAGGTGAGCAAAGACCACATATAACTTTGATTATTTTTAGCTATTCGATGAATTCTTTGGGGATTCTTTGGTAATATAAATATTACTAAATATAAAAATAATTAACCATTAAAAAATGAGTGTTTAGTAGGTATATGTTGTAAGAAATTATATAAACTTGTAACTATGCGTTTTTGTTCCATATTTATTGTCTTTATTAATATTTTTTCTGGACATTTTATCCTGGAGTAACTTTAAGTCGTTACACTCCACCTACACCAAATTCCCACTCTTTTTTATAATGCTCAGCTTTTTTTGTGTGGCACTGCAACGGCTTTTATATGTGTTTTTCTTCGCCAAAGCTGTGTGAAATCAATGGAAGCTGTTTCACTCAGCCGTCGCCTGCCATTCTGCGCTCGGGTGGAAAAGTGAACTGAAAACTGCCCCAGCGACTGGCCTGTGATTGCGCAAAGTGCGGCGTTGTCCTGCGAAAGCGTTTTATTTAAATATATATATGTATGTATTTACATACACTCATAAAAATAATTTTCTACATTTTAGAAAATCGCCCTTAAAAAATTTTCGCCCTTGAAATGAGAAAAATTTTCTATTTTCACGACAAATTTGCCATAAATTTAGAGCAGGTGACCATAAAAAAATATTTTTAGGGTTAATTTTTCTATTTTTCTAATATTTAGGGCGATTTTTTCGATTTGCTTCGTTTTGGCCTTTTCTAAATCCAACGGCGAATTGCCCTAATTTTTTCCTAAAATTTTTCTCAATACAAGGGCGATTCGCCTTAAAAATCACTCCAAAAGTGTGAAATTCGGTAGCCCAGGGTCTAATCACTTGCGCTTTCAACTTTGCTATATGAGGACTAAGGTCTGGGGTTGTGTTCGAACCCTGTTGATTCTAACATGTTTTTTTTTTTTGTAAACATAATACTGAGGACATTTTTTCTTCCGAATTTTAAATTAAAGTAGTCTTTAAACCTTAAAAACGTATGGGAGTTCTGAGTTAAAAGCATACTTTGTGTTTGCGGGCAAGAAAACGGGACTAATTGTCACAGTCGTCAGGAAAAAAATATACTTAGTTGCCTTTAGTCATATTATAACGTAGACCTCAAGAAAATAAGATGTGTGCAGAGTTTGTTCGTCGTCTTGCGCGATGGGTCTGTGGTGCAGCGGTAGGACGTTAGACTCTAAACCGAGAGGTCGTGGGCTGTCTCGAACGACCAAAAAAGTAAGTTGTTTTTTTTCCTCTTTTTTTTTTCCTTATTTTTTTACAACATGATTTTTCAGTTTAACGGCTGTGCTGTATAGATCGGGCCCCCCCTTAACAAAAAAAAAAACGGTCCCTAAAAAAAGTTTTATTAAAGCAGCAGTCCCAGAATATAGACGATTAAAAAAAAAAAATATTCCCCAAATTCAGTTAAGCATGCTCAAACACGATTTCTTTTAATTTGTCTAATTTTTTAGGGCATTTGCCTTTAAAAACAGAAAATTGCCCTTAATTTTAGAAAATACACCTTAAAATTAGGAAAAGGAAATAGTTTTATTTCAAGAAAAAAAACCCAAAAAAAAAAAAAATTTTTGATTTTTAGAAAATTTTTCTAAATACACGGGCGAATCGCCAGCGGATACGATTTATGTAAATTTACAGGGTTATATGTGTTTACAGGTTTGCATGGTGGTGATGGTATGGTGGCAGGTAAACCGTAACGGTTTAAATCTGCTTGTCCAACACTCGGCTTCCGCCATTTCGCCCCTCGGCCCTCAGCACTTTAGCATCGGCGTATACGGCGGCCCCGTATTTGTGTCAGTTTTCATGCGGATCGCTTACAGTTGGCATAAAAAGGACGACTGCCAACACAAGAACGGGAGCAGCAGGAGCGGCAGCAGCGGCAGGACATGTTAAAAACAGTTTTATGCACTGCCAGAACGAGCTGGAATAAAATAAATATGCTGGCTGACTGCTGCTGCCACCCCTTTGGTTCTTCGTCCTGCTTCCCCCTGCTCCTCCTGTTTTCGTCCTGGAAAACGCAAAAGTGCCCACGCTTCAATGCGTGTATCTGTCGCCCAGCCCAAAATGCTTTAAAAAGTGATTTTTACAAGCCGCACACCCAGAATCACACACATGTACTCCAAAGTCATGAGCTAAAAAGAAGAAAACTTTGGTAAACTATAGGGAGAAAAAGAGAGAGAGAACAATAATGTAACTCGACTATCAGATACCCGTTACTCAGGCAAAGGAATTTCATTATTTCCTTCGCTCATAACTTTTGAATAAATAGTCCTATTAAAAAATGTTTTCTACATTTTAATAAGTTATATTAAACACAACAAAATAGCGTAAGAAAAACTCCCATCTACCCGTTACATACTTTTTCACAAATTCAATATACCCTTTTACTCTACGAGTAAGGTATATAAAAAGTTGAAAACGTTTTTTCCCTGAATAGTCAAGTAAGCTAAGCCGACCTGAACTGAACTGAATTGCCGATTTGCAATTTTCGGCTTGCTCTTTTTTGGATTTTTTATTTTTTGGTTCAAAGGGTTTTGGCCGGGTTAATGAATGAGCCGGAATCTGTGCTATATTTTTCTACCACACCATAGCCGTTTGTTTATGTTGCCCCGCCTGCAATTGATGGTGATTGAATTTTTTGATTGATCGTCTGATTGATTGAACGAGTTGATTTTGGTCGATCTCCCCCAGGCGAGCGATGATGGAGTTTGCAGTGCAGTTTCCCCGCCTCCCTTAGGTTAAAAACTAATAAAAAACCCGCATAGCAAAATAGGAGGAGTGCAAAACCCACGAAGAGACGGCTTAATTGAAAAGCGGCACGGCCTAAAAACGAAAGGAGGCACTGGGGAGGCCCACCTTTGCTCCTTCGGGGAATTCCTGCAATTACGCTAAAAGCAATTCCCGACCGAAAAACTCCAAAGAGTTAGCAGCGAAGTCAACCCTTAGCCTTTGGCTTATACAACAGAACAGAACAGACAAACACATTTGCCACCTCGCTAAGACAGGCCCACAAATTTTTATTTAAAGCACTTTACCAGGATCGTGTTTCGTCCTCTCTCCCTCTATCTTTTTTTTTCCTATCTGTGAGTGTGTCGTACAATCAACTTAAACTTAAAGATTACAAGCACCGCCCGCTAAGCTGCGGAAAAATGTATGCCAGCGACCAGGAGGGAAAAACAGGAGGAAATAGCAGGAGGGGGATGAGTCCTTGCGGGAAATCCGCAAAACCACTCACGGCAGACAGAGAGACAGAAGGATGCCCTCCAGGAATACGCATGCTATTTGTATTTAAAATGGGATTTACCTGCGGTTTTGTCACTTCTTCTTTTGGCGGGGCTTTTAATTTGATTTAATGCGTCTACGCGTGCCGAGCATTTGTGTAAGAGAACCGCCTGCGCATCCTTTTTGGCGGCTGGAAACAGGGACTTCGGGGTAAATGTGTACACAGAAAAAAAAAGACCAAAGATCAGATCAAAGATCAAGGTTTTCATATCATTTTGATATGATATAATATTTCTTACAAAAATACTAAATTTGGTATTTAAAAACAGTCTTTTTCGAACTTTTATGAAATTATAAATGTTTGAATCATCAATTTTACATTAATCATATAGGCTTTCTTATTGATATGAAATAAGGTAGAAATGACGCTATTTCATATAGAATTTCTTTTATGTGTAAGTTCTCTTTCTCTTGTTGTTGTTGGCCATTTGTGCGAACTAAGTTTTTGGCGCCCAACGAAACCCACCAAAATGCCCCAGTGAATTGGGCAAGTGAAAACTTGTGTCGGCGGTGGAAAACTATGTACAAACTCAATTGCAAATGTATGCCAACCTTGTTGTTTGGGGAAAAATGCAAATTAATTTTCCGCAGGCCTTTCGCTGCGGTGCCCATTAAATATGAGCTGAGCGCTCTGCAACTCGCAATTTTGCCTTGGCCTCCATTTTTGGTTTATGTAAATCTTGTTGGGGATCCGCAGCCATCTTCCGACCTCCAAGCATCCATTTCCAGACATTTTGCCTGCACATCAAAGACAAGAACAATTTCGCTAGCGGCTAGACTTTGAACTTCTCAGCTGGGTCCCAAGGAATGGGTCATGGGATTTCTGGAGTCTGGTTTTTGGTATTGGTAGTCTGAAGACTGAAGTCCTCGGCTCTCAGCTCAACCGCAATTAAAACAGATTTCTTGTTTACGATGTCCTTGGCGAATTTGTAAATCAATTCTATGCGTATTTAAAGCAATTAATTTTCCTGAATTTTAATTGACTTTGCCATCATCATCCCCTGCCCCCCTGAAAGCCGGTTCGTTTGTTTGTTTATTTACTTGTTTTCTGTTTTCCCATCAACTTGCCCTAGATAGCCCACAATATTTGGTAGTCCTTGCTGTTATCTATATGTTTTCGTTGCGGTTAGGCTAAATTGATTTTAGAGCTAAGCAGAGTGCATGTGTACTTAGGTCATTTGTGACGGTAGTTTGGGTCTAATCCTTCTTCAAGCTGACAGCTTTTTGGGATGCGGCTCACAAAGGTGACCACAGAGATGGCCTAAAAGGGAATTCTTTATTTGAACTAAAAGAAAAAAAAGTTAATTGAAATTAATAAAGCTAAAGGCACATACAAGATAAAAGAGATTTTCATGCAATTCTCTTAATTAATCGAAAAATTCTGAGCTGCAAACTAAGTTTTTGTCAATCTGTCAGCAATGTTTAGTTGATTTACAAATGTGACTACCGAAAAAGCCAGCTTAGCCACCTGAAAAAATAAGTAGCTAAGCTTTTAAAGTTTCAATATATTAAAGTTCAAACCTACCTGAATATTTGAGCTCGTGGAGATGGGAAAAATAGAGCCGGCTGTAAAAGCAATTGATTTTTGGGAGCTCTTCAAGAAATAGATTAAAGATGTTTTGTATCTGCGACTTGTATGCATCCAGTTGGAATGGAATATGGCCAACTCAAGGCGTTCGCAATCCGCTTTGATGAGGTCACACACAAAGCAAAAGGGGAATGTCTGGACCATCAGACCATTGATATAGGCCACGGTGGCCAAACCCGTCCAAATGTCGGCGAAGAAAAGCAGATTAATCATGGACAAACCAAGGCAAATGCCAATCAAAAGAAACTGAATGAAGATTGTGCGGGCAATCGCAGGTCGTATCATTTCAGCATATCTGAAAAATAATATAGTAAATCTTAAATCAACTAAAGTTATATTTATTTTTTAAGATCCTTACTCCTTAATAAGCTTGTGATCCTTGATGCAGTTAATCAAATCCTCTTGATTTTCGATATCGCTTTTTTCAGGATCTGTGCAGAGTTTCTCCACCCGCAGTTGCAAAAGTTTGATGTGAGCTCTAAGGATCAAACCATAGAGCAGGGATATATATCGCTCATCAGGGTTTGGGTTACACTACACAACATAAGTGCCGTTTCGTTCAAAGCAGCCTTCCAAAAACTCGACCTACTCTCTCGCCAATCCACATATGGATTGTAGATACGCCAGGGCAACTTTCCACTCAAAGCGGACGAAAGAAAAGTGGAAATGGTGTAGGCGGCGTAGATCATCTGGTAGATGAGATAGGCCATATTACAACGCACCACCCATCGATGCACTTCGATTCGTTCATGCAAAGTATTACAACGTCTGTCCATTTCGCTCAATATCTTCTTGGCCTTGTAAAATCTCGAAATATAAACATTGAAGAATAGCACTTTGAAAGGCATTCCCACTGAGTTGAAGAATAGCTGCAAAACTGTCAAGAGTTCGCTTGGGGTAAAGGTGTTCAGATCCTTTATGAAACTTATGATGATTCCAATGGGCAAGTAGACAACACACCAGGCAATAATAAGAGTGGCAAAAATATAGTAAATTGCCTTGAACTTTGCGGGAGTATGCCATCCCATACAGAACATCCCGTACTCAAAGTATCTAAATGCCTCCGGAGAGGTCAAAAGATCCGTGGGAGTCGGTTCCCTCAAATAGTTAAACCACATTATTATACTTTTCTTCCTTGAAGTCTGTTCTTTACTGCAGGTGGTTATCCTCGGCATACTGTACTTATACCAGCCAATTTCCCAGAATTATTCGAAAACTGAAAATAGTTTCTCAAAAATGCAAATTTAATTGACCTCTTTTATGCAAATAGTTCCCACGCAACGTACCCAAAATAACCAATTATCTCTAGTTTGTGGAACCTGTAATTTTGTGTGGCCAAAGCAAAAGATAATAACTTCTGAATTCCTGTCTCTGTAATTAACTGCAATGCACTTCAATATGAGTTTCTTATTCGTTTATAATCTTTATTACAAATATATTGTAGTGTTTCATTTTTCTAGATTTTATGTGTTACTATGCTTTAACTATATAAGTAGCTTTGATTAGGAAATTACACTTTTCTTTTCCAATATTTGTGGCCACAACAAAGAATCTCATTACTGCTGTGTAATTTTTAGCAAGGCGCATCTATCGTCTTCGGGTCAAATTAGAAAATATTTTATTAGGTATGCAGAATTCTTTTTTATAATTTAATTCTTGGTCAATCTGTCAGCTATGTTAAGTTGATTTACAAAAGTGACTACCGAAAAAGCCATCTTAGCCACCTAGAGGATAAATAGTTGCTTAGCTTTTAAGGTTTTAAAATATTTCAGCTACCACTCACCTTAATATTTGAGCTCACGGAAATGGGAAAAATAGAGCCGGCTGTAAAAGCAACTGATTTTTGTGAGCTCTTCAAAAAGTAAATCAAAGATGTTTTGTATCTGCGACTTGAATTGATCCAGTTGGAATGGAATATGGCCACCTCGAGCTGTTTACAGTCCGATTTGATGAGGTCACACACGAAGCAGAATGGAAATGTCTGGATCATCAGGCCATTGATGTAGGCCACGGTGGCCAAACCCGTCCAAATGTCGGCGAAGAAGAGCAGGTTGATCATAGACAAACCCAAACAAATTCCAATCAAAAGGAACTGAATGAAGATAGTGTGGGCAATCGCAGGTCTTATCACTTCAGCAAATCTAAAAAATAATATAGTAAAATCTAAAAAGATTATAGTTATTTTTTAGGATCCTCACTCCTTTATAAGCTTGTGATCCTTGATGCAGTTAATCAAATCCTCCTGATTTTCGACATCGCTTTTGTCAGGATCTGTGCAGAGTTTCTCCACCCTCAGTTGCAAAAGCTTAATATGAACTCTAAGCATCAAACCATAGATCAGAGGATATATGTCGGTCAGCAGGGCTTGTGTTATGGTAAATAACATAAGTGCTGTCTCGTTCAGGACGGCCTTCCAAAAACTCGACCTACTCTCTCTCCAATCCACAAATGGATTGTAGATGCGCCAGGGCAACTTTCCACTTAAGCCGGCCGATAGAAAAGTGGATATTGTGTAGCAGGTGTAGATCATCTGGTAGATAAAATTGGCCTTATTGCAACGCACCACCCACCGATGGACTTCGATGCGTTCCTTTAAAGCGATACAGCGTTTGTCCATTTCGCTCAACAACTCTTTGGCCTTGTAAAATCTCGATATATAAACATTGAAGAATAGCACTTTGAATGGCAGTCCAACTATGTTAAAAAAAAGCTGCAAAACTGTCAAAAATTCGCTCGGTGTAAAGGTGTTTATGTCCTTCATAAAACTTATGATGATTCCAATGGGCAGGTAAACAACACTCCAGGAAATTATTAAGGTGGCCAAAATATAATAAATTGCCTTGTACTTTGTCGGAGTATGCCATCCCATACAGAACATTCCGTATTCGAAGTATCTAAATGCCTCCGGAGAAGTCAGAAGATCCGTGGGGGTTGGGTCGCGCAAATAACTAAACATTCTAATACTTTTCTGTGTTGAAGTCTTGTTTGTAGTCTGTACTCAACTGCAGGTGGTTATCCTCGGCATACTTTACTTATACTTTATAGTTCTCAAATTAGGCAAAAATGGCTTCTCAAAAATGCAGATTTAATTGAACTCTTCCATGCAAATAGTTCCCACGCAACCTATCCAAAATAATCAATTATATTTTCTTTGTGAAACCTGTAATTTTGTGTGCGCAAAGCAAAAGTTGATAACTTTAGAGTTACTGGTAATATAATTATCTGTAGTGCACTATGCATTTCAAAGTCCCTTTCTTATTTGTTTACTACATGTATTAAAAATATATTTAAGTGTAGATTGTTCTAAATTTTAGGTTTCATTATGATAGTATTGATAGATTAAAAAAAATTCTTTAGTTAGTTGCCAATTTTTCGGCTAAATTGAATTGATTCGCTAAAGTAACAACGGAAAATGCTAACTTAGCTACCTGAAATTACAAAAATCAATTATTTAAATTTAAATACTGAAAAAATGACCACCTTTACCTTTAAATTTGTGCTAATGGATATGGGAAAAACTGAGCCGGCTTGAAAAGCAATAGACTTTTGGGAATTCATCAAAAAGAAGACCAGTAAAGTCTTGTATCTTCGACTTGTGTCCAGCCAATTGGAATGAAAAATGGCCACCTCCAGAAGTTCACAATCCACCTTGATCAGGTCACAAACGATACAAAACGGAAATGTCTGCATCATCAGGCCATTGATATAGGCCAGTGTGGCCAAACCAGTCCAGAAATCGGCGAAAAAGAATAGATTTATTAGGGAAAAACCCAGAGAAATGCCAATCAAAAGAAACTGAATGAAGATAGTACGTTCGATGACAGGACGAATCATTTGAGCGCATCTAAAAAATAGTTATAAATATTAAATTCATTTTTTTTGTACTTTATATACTACTCCTGAATGAGTTTGTGATCCTTGATGCAGTTGACCAATTCTTCTTGATTCTCCTCGTCGCTCTTTTCGGAATCTGTACAAAGCTTCTCGACTCTTATCCTCAAAAGTCCGATATGAGATCGCAACATTATTCCACAGAGTAGTGGATATAAATCGGTGAGAACGGATTGTGACACAGAGAAGAGCATGAGAATGGTCTCATGCAGGGCAGCTATCCAGAAACTAGTCCTGTTTTGGTGAATATCCAAAAATGGCGTATAAATGCGCCACGGTAGAACTCCAGAAAGAGCAGCTGATAGGAAAGTGGATACAGTATAGCCGATATATATGAACTGGTAGATCAGATAGGCTCTGTTGCAGAGGACCACACATCTATGGACCTCAAAGCGCTCCGAAAGGGAAGTACACCGATTATCCATTTGGCTGAGTAGCTCTTTGGTCCTTTTGAATCTCCACAGATATATCCTCAGGAAAAATACTTTAAAAGGTGATCCGAAGGAGTTAAAAAAGAGCTGGAGAACAGTCAGTAGTTCGCTGGGATTAAAGTTCTTGATATCTAAGCCAAAACTGATTATGATTCCGATGGGCACATAATAAACGCTCCAGGCAATGATGAGCACTGCTAAAATATTGTAGATTAACTGGTACTTGGAGGAGGGTTTCCAGCCCAGCCAGAACATCCCGTACTCAAAGTACTTGAAAGCATCGCCCGAAGTAAGAAGATCCGTTATATTCGGCTTTCGTAAATATTCGAATAACATTTTTTTCTGCGTTTCGGCCTTAAAGTCTCACTCAAACTGCTGAGAATTATAGAAAATGCTTTGTATTTATTTTGGCCACTTATCAAGGTTTAAGTTCCCACGCAAAATAATCAATTATCCTGTAACCCCTAATTTTTTGTGGCCACAACAAATTAAAATCGTTACTGAATTTTTGATTGTGTAATTTTTAGCAGGGTGCATAAATAAACAAATATTTTATTGTTCTTATTTTCAATTTCCAAATTATGACTTCTAATTTTTAGTCAATCTGTCAGCTATGTTCAGTTGATTGACAAAAGTTACTACCGAAAATGCCAGCTTAGCCACCTGAAATAAATAATATTTATAATATTTCAGTCTGACATTTATAAAATTTTCATATCCTTGCCTTGATATTCGAGCTCGTGGATATAGAAAAAATGGATCCAGCTGTAAAGACAATTGTATTTTGGGAGTTCTGCAAGAAGAAGATCAATAAGGACTTGTATCTTTGACTGGTGCCAGGCCAATTCGAATGAAATATAGCTGCCTCGAGGAGTTCGCAATCCGACTTGATCAGGTCACAAACGAAGCAGAACGGAAATGTTTGGAACATTAGCCCATTTATGTAAGCCACTGTGGCCAAACCGGTCCAAAAGTCGGCAAAGAAGAGCAGATTTATCAAGGACAAGCCCAAAAGAAGGCCGATCAGTAGAAATTGAACGAAGATAGTGCGAGCGATGACGGGTCGTATTACTTGAGCAAATCTAAAAAATATGAAAATAATTTAAGAAATCTTTTGCTTTAAAAAAGTGTTATAATATTTACTCCTTTATTAACTGGTGATCCCTTATGCAGTTCACCAAGTCCTCCTGATTTTCTTCATCGTTTTTTTCGGGATCCGTGCATAGTTTGTCAACCCTTCGCCTCAGTAGATTGAGGTGCGTTCTCAACATCAATCCATAAATTAGTGGATAGATATCAGTCAATAGGGTTTGAGATACGGAAAATAACATCAGGAGGGTCTCGTGAAGCAGAGCCTTCCAGAAACTCTTTATACTTTCGTGCCAATCCACAATGGGATTATAGATGCGCCAGGGCAGGAACTCCGATATAGCACCCGATATAAAAGTGGATATAGTGTAGCCGAAATACATAAACTGGTATATGAGATAGGCCCTGTTGCAGTTGACCACGCATCGATGGATTTCGAATCGCTCTTTAAGACTAGTGCTTCGTTGGTCCATTTGTTCCAAGAGATATCGGGCCTTGACAAATCGCCAAAAGTGCAGCTTGAAGAATAAGATTTTTAAGGGCGTTCCGAAGGAGTTGAAAAAGAGCTGTAGAACAGTCAGTAGTTCGCTGGGATTGAAGGTCTTAATATCCTTGACAAAGGAAATAATGATTCCAACGGGCAGATAGATAACGCACCAAGCTATTAGGAAAGCCGATACAATATAATATAATACTTCTTTCCCTTGAGGAGCCATCCATCCCATCCAAAACATTCCAACCTCAAAGTACCGAAATGCCTCTGGCGAAGTGAGGAGATTCTGGGGGATAGGTTTTCGCAAGTACGTAAACATTTGCCTGCTTTTCTGATTTAAAACTGTTGTAAATCGCTTTTAAGAACCTCTTTTATATTCAAGGCAATTTTATTCAATTTATTTGTATTTTTCCCACAAGACTCTCTATGCAAATAGTTCCCACGCTGCTTACGCACAATAATCAATTATCGTCTAACTATTGGTTGTTGAGCTGCCGTTTCATTGTGACCACAACACAAAGGATGTTATTTGTTGAATACCTGATATTGTAATCGCCTGCAATGCGCTTCTCAGCTTGAATTTCTAATTTCTTTCATAGCTTTCCACACTCTTTTTCCCCCTCCCATTAAGTGGGCAACAGTTTTAGCCATACATATATGTAGATGTGAATTCCGTTGCCGCATGATTAATAATATATGGGGATGTGCCTTTAGCATACGTATATCTACATATTGCGTAGCCGACATGTGCACCATAGAGGGTCCTGCGATTTCCCGGCCATTGTCTGTCTGCGTTGCGCTGTCGGCAGTGGCAGACGCGTGTGTTCGAGTTAATTTATAGACTTATCAACACTTAATCACCGGAAAAATGGCATGGCACTGCCATAGTGCCACAGTGCCACGCATGTTGATTACGGCCGATGTCTTGTGGCCGTATTTCACCCGGAGATGAAGTCAGAGCCAGAGAGACAGAAAGACCCAGAAACACCCAGGCTTAATAGTTGTTAGTTAGTTGTGGCTGTGCGTGTGAGCCTTTGCCTGCGACTGTTGCGCTGCGTAACACATTTGCCGTAATTTATACTTTATAGCCCCGGCCAGATATGAAAAGTCTCTCGCACACACAATCCCTATATAGCATAATATCCGAGGCTATATTTTTTCAGCCGCTGTTCAACATGTTGACTTTTATGCCATTTTCTGCGGTTGCCAAGTCAACTGTGGTCAGACACTGGGCACAGATATTTATGCGTGCATATAAATAACAAGGCCCCTGACTTTTTCCGACTTCGCATATTGTGAATGTAACAGTGACTGGCAACTGGGAACTGGGAGACCGGGACTTATGTTATTAGATTTACGGCGGAATGAGGGTGATGCGTCGACCATAAAAGCGGCTGACATTCATATAAACCGCAAAGAGTTGACTGCATAATTAAAGCCGAAAGACAATACACCGAAAAAAATACACAAAAGATCAGATTGATATGTTCTGGTAAATTTTCATATCATTTTGATATGAATAAGGATTAATTTACATTATTCTTTTAAAAAATACTACATTTGGTGTGTATTATGATATGAGAAAATTTCAAGTTGATATGTTTGAATCATGAATTTGACATAAATCATATCGGATTGATATGAAATAAGGTAGAAATGCCCCTATTTCATATCAAATTTTTTTCTGTGTAAAGCAAAAAGTTGATTAAACTGGAAGCTCTGGCAATTGGCCAGGACAATTGTTAACCATTTGAGCGGCATTTGCCACGTTTGCTGATTCCAAACACACTCGGTGCCTCTATTCCTAATGATTGCAACAACGTGACGCATCGCAAATTTTCCATCTGCTCGGTTTGCTTTATTTTTTCAGCTTTTCCTTCGATCTGAGCCTAGTTCAGCTTTATTGTTGGCCATTTGCGCCAAAAGGCGCCGCCTGATGAAGTATTGTTTCTGGATCATAAACTGATTTGCTTAAAAGCATGTGTGTTTTTCTGTTTCTGTCTGTCTACCGAATCTACGTGCTTGGCATTTTCCCTATTGATTTGACTGGCGCGTCACCTTATTAAATTTTTCGAACCTAAACGCTGTGCTAATTGGTTTTGTGCAGCACAACCTCATAACCGGAGTCCACTCATCCGAAAGAGCCGAGTTATGGGTCTCGGTTTAGCCAGCCAGCCGGCCGGAGCCATTAAAAATTGATTTATTTTTAATTATCAGTGACGTGCGGCGCAATAATAAATAAACGTGGAAATTTATTGCAACGTCAAAAGCGACGGCCGGCAAACGTCGACCTCAACAATGGGGAGTGTGTGTGTTTTCTGTATATATAGGATGCATGCAGTATCCACATATATGTTTTAGGTTTTGCGCAAAATATTTAGAATGCTAGAATGAAAATGTGGGTTGTGGGTGGTTGTTGGGCTTACAACGGGCAGGCAGGCAAATCGAGTTGTTGGCATATTTTACAAACACTTTGCTAATGTTGGCGCTTGTCTAACATATTTTTAGTTGCCTCCTGATGATGATGTTGCCTGGTGTGGCTGTTGTTGCTCTGCCTTTGCTGCTATTATTATTATTGCAGCTGTCGCTCATGATGCCCAAAATGCGAACGAAAAATGCAGCACAAAAATTCTATTATCATAGGCCATTGTCGCGCCGAACGTTTGACAACCGCTCGACCAACAACATTGTCACCAGGAACATTTTACTAATTTATTAACTAAACCAATGCCGCGTTTCCACGTTGAAAGTGGAAAAACGAGGCAAATATTTGTCGGACTGCTGGCAACCGCATTTTGCTAATTTGAGCCATTGGCTAGAATTCCTTTAGCCGCGAACCTGTTTGAAATTGAATTTCCAGGAAATTTGAGATTTCTAATGCCGCCGCATACATCAATGGCTCGTTTTTGGCCATTTGCAGTTGCAGTTTTGCAGTTGAGGACCTCGGACTGTGGACCGTGGACCGCACCCATTGTGGTTGCCCCTTTTTGTGGCCTGACGCGTTTAATGAATTTTTCATGTCATCAACGTTGTACCATTGACCATTGCCCACTTTCAATTATTCACCGAAACCAAACCCTCGCCATTCGCTGCTCCCCCATTCAGCTGTACTTACCGCATACCAATTCAAATCAATTTTTGATTTGGCAGATTTACATTCTTTATTCATACACGGCCAAGGAAAATGCTGCTTTTATTTTTGCGAAAAATTGTAAATTTATTTTTCACAACGAGCGTTGGCCAGTATTTTTTCGTACTTTGGTGGGTAGTTGGGGTATTTATGACGCGGAAGTATTTTATGCTGAATTTTAATTATGACATGCATGAGATAAAAAATTTAAGAATATATTCAATTGAAGTTGTGGCAGAAATCACAAATTACTTAAAAAGCTGACTAAAAGTATGCAACGAATTCTTACTTCATTTTTTGCAGCATACTTTTAAGCCCCCTTTGAAGAGATTTAAAAATCCTTACTGATTTCTTTGAAACTTGAATCTTTAGTTGTATTTAAATCTATTAAATATTATTTAATGGCTGCAAGTATAGATTTCCCCCACCTGGTAATGCTTCGTCGAGACTCTTAGTTTGAGTGCATTTATCCGCTATTTATTCGAGTCCCTTTCGCGTGGCACTATCTATAGCAAATATCGTTCACTGATGAGCGCGGCATTGGCAATATATTTTATTCACATGCCAGTTTTTGCCGCTATGCGGTAATTGATACGCTAAACTGCATAACGCAGATTATGACGTTAACATGGAAACACTAAAATGAATCGCTGGCACTGAATGGTCAGTGGCCAATGAATGGGAAATGGAAAATGGGAAATGGACGGAAGGAGCGGAAAGAGCGGTAAAACAAAGTGCACAGCTCAACAAAGGAAACATTTAAATATTCAATAGAGGAAAAAATGACCGTGATGAATATTATTATTATTATTGTTATTATTATTATTGTAATTCGTATTAAATTTGCATGCTATCATGTAGTTATGCATTCGGTGAAATTTAATTATTCACATTATCTACTAATTTTTTAAATAATACTGTGTTTACTTTTCACTGTTCTTTTTGCTGGCGCAGTGGAATTTAATATTTTAACTGGTATAGATATTCCGATATTGCGTGTGTGCGTGGTGTAAAAAGTTTGAAAAGCAATTTAAAAATGAAATTTATGAATTGTGTGTGCAGAGGCAGAGGCAGAGGCCACACACATAAAATGCAAAAGCCGAGCGTAGAAATGGCAATTGCTCCAATGGCCAGAAGGTAATTAGAATTCATGACACGCTTATGAAATATCACACATACGCAGTGTGGCCAAGACGATGGTTCACACCCTCCTACTCCTGCTTCTCCTCCTTCTTCGTTCTCTTACCCTCTTTTGATTTACGATTTTCAAACGAACGAGGCAATGCAAAGTAATTTATGACAATGCCTTGGCCACAAAAACTGCGAATTGCAATCAAAGCCAAAAATGGCTAAGACCCAGAAGAGGCAAGAACAGAAGCTCATATAAATGTCAGCCGGCTAACGATGGATGATTCGCATCGCCTCCCTGCAGATGCATTAGTTGGCCACTTGGATTGTCCTTCATATCTATGGCTTCATCTCAGGCTCCTCCTTTTGAGTCTCCTTTTTTCCTGCTGCCAACAAAGCCCGAGCTCCAATGAGGCAACTGTAGCTGAACTTTGCATATAAAATGCTTTCGCTATATAGGTTGCGCCGTGTTTTTTAATGGCGTGAAGTCAGCGGCGCGTAAATAATAAAAAAAAGAAAAATATAACACAGAACGTGGAAACATCATGAGGCATCTTAATAAATTACTTTGGGGATTTCGGTGCACAATTTTTAATATTGCCAGGCCGGGGCCCAGACTGCCACATCGTTGATATAGGGCCAACAACACACCCCCGTTCGCCGGCGACGGGGTTAAAGGGAGCCGTTCTACGCCCGACAGTTGCTTGACATTTCGAGTTTAATGAAATTTATGCAATTTTTCTTATTTGCCAAATGCACTGCGGCATTCGCAGCTCGCCTGCGGCGTCAGCAACACGCCAAAGTGCAATGCATCAAGCGGGTGGTGCCTTTCATACGAAACTGGGTGGTGTTGAGCTGCTTAGATATAGACAGAACTGACAGCGCCCCCCTCCGGTACATGTGCACTGGGGGAAAGAGGTAGTGAAAAGTCCTTGGAAAGAGGTTTAATTGGAAAATGGCTGCAGGTAAAGCCACTCGGCTACTTATCAAATATATAAATATACAACTCTTTACTTCTTTTAATCTTCAGTTAATTTTGGGAATAAATAAATATTTATTAT